AGAGAGAGAGAGAGAGAGAGAGAGAGAGAGAGAGAGAGAGAGAGAGAAACTGAGTCTGGCTTGAATCCCAAACCCCAAACCCCACCCCCAAAGATACACTTCCCCCAACAAGGCCACACCCATTCTCTCTCAAGTAGCGGTCATTTTCTATTGACCAAGCTTTCAAATCTATGACCCTACGAGGGCCATTCTTATTCAATCCACCACTCCACTCTCACCTCCCTTATTTCCAAGTCCTTAAGGGACATTTGACTGTAAGCTCCAGATTGTACTAATCATTATCACAAAGTTTCCACAGGGGTGTGATGTAGGACGGAGGCTGCTTGTTTGTCCTGCTGCCCAGTTCCCGGCCACCCTGCTAGCTTAGCCCCAAAATAACACACAGAAACTGTATTCTTTAAATCACTTTTTGGCCCATTAGCTCTAGCATCTTATTGGCTAACTCTTACATCTTAATTTAACCCATTTCTAGTAATCTGTGTTTTGCCACATGGCAGTGGCTTATCAGAAAAGATTCAGCATGTCTGACTCTGGCGGTTCCTCCGTGTCTCTCCGACTCCACCCTTCTTTCTCCCAGCATTCAGTTCCCTCTCCCCACCAACCTAAGTCCTGCCCTATCAATAGGCCAAGGCAGTTTCTTTATTCATTAACCAGTAAAAGCAACACATAGGTAGAAGGACCTCCCACACCAGTGTGACTGTTACTGCAAGTGAAAACTACAAAACAAAATTGAAAAAAACTAACCTTAAGGAAAACTGACTTGTATGAGAGCCTTTCTCTATTGTTTTTAGAACTGAACACACACTTGCATATTTTACTTTCTGCTTTCCAGATAATCCCTAGTAAGAAATATGAGAAGCAGCTGAACCAGTTTTGGAAACTTGCCCCGCCCACCTCAGGGTTGGAAATTGTGCTGCTCTAAAAAAGTTGACTGGATACTTTAAACCATGCCGAGTGGCTGCGTGCATGTAGGGTGCTAAACAGGCCAAGTAGGCCCCTTCTCAGAGGACGATGCTGTTTGTATTCCTGAAGACACCATAGCAGGGATAAGGCACGGCTTGGACTAGCTGGAATAAGTGATGTGTGTCTAAGTAAACAGAACTCTGGAAGCGACTTAACTGGAATCAATTCCTGACTTTAAATTCTCCTTTAAACCACCACCACACGTGATTTGTGTCTGTGTCTTTGATTTTCAAAGTCAGAATCCTGGATACAATCTCTGTTTATAAGACTGATGTCTGTGACATCTGGGAGTTAATCCAGATACCCACTAGCTCACATGGGGTCTGGAGGCTGCTGGGAAAGGGCTTATATATCCGCTCCACAGCTGGAGCTGGTACAGATGCGCCTGATGAACTGAAGGTGGTGGAAATCCAGGGGGGGAGGGGCTCCTAGGAGAGGCTTCACGGCCATCGTGGGGCCAAGAGGTATTTCAGTATAACAGAGAGAAAGAGCAGTGATGGGTAATGCCTTGGATCATTCCCAGCCCTGGGATGGAGCAGCGTGGGCAATAACTAGTGAGGGAAAGAGGCTGAGTGAATGGTTCAGGTGACTTCCTGAATGGCTGAGATGCAGAGGGAAGAGTGTTCTCTTTTTGCTCTGATAGAAGCATACATAACAAGAGATTTATCAAAATGGCAGCAATGACCCAAAGGTGGCAGCTGTGGAGTCCAGGGTCCACTGTCTATGATAGTAATCAACAGACAAGGGTGACCACCAAGTGCTTCTAAAACTCTCCCTCCTCTCAGATTCTTGACGTCCACAGTTCTGAGTGAACTG